TCCTGGGGTAGCCCTGAGGCACAGGCCACTGTCCTATTTGTGGATGAGGTGAGGAGAGCTCCAGGCCCTGCAAGGGATCCCTCAGTCTGCCTGTGAATAACAACTCTGAAGGGCTTTCTGAGGGCCCTTGGAAAGTCTGATGACTGGAGTTGAAAGATGATTCTGTCCAAGGAAGATCACGACAGTCAAGGACCAATCTAGGGTCAAGTTTGAGGTATTTGTTGTTGAGGAATCAATGCTGAATTAGTCTGAACTATACATCCTTTCTTCCATCCATCCATCCAACCATCTATCTATCCATCCATCTACCTATCTAACATATATTTAGGGAGCTCCTGCTGGGGGCCGAGGATGCTTAGCGTCTCCAGGCACGTCACTCTGTTCTGAGGCATCAGATCCCTTTGTTTAGGGTATAGCTCAGAGGTTCCATCTACCATGTGGGACTGTGGAGTCAGACAGATCAAGATTCAAATCCCAGCTCTGTCACTTCCTATAACTGTGACTTTAGGCAAGGGACTTTATCTCTTTGAACTTCATTTTTCTTCATCTGTGTAATAAAGAAATGAACAGTTCTTACCTTGTAGAATTGTTATGAGAAGCCAATGAGATAATGTGTCCAAAATGTCTGGCACATGGTAGGGTCTCAATATATAGTGACAATAGCTACCATTCATTATACCATGGCTAGGTCTTCAGATGCATTATTTAATATAATCCTACCACCAACCTATAATGAAGATGTGATCTCCATTTAAAAATCAGGAACTAGGCCAGTCGTGGTGGCTCACACCTGTAATCCAAGCACTTTGGAGGCCAAGGCGGGCGGATCACCTGAGGTTGGGAGTTCAAGACCAGCCTGACCAACATGGTGAAACCCCATCTTTATTTATTTAAAAAAAAAAAAAAAAAAATCAGGAACTCAAGAGGTGGGTGGATCACCTGAGGTCTGGAGTTTGAGGCCAGCCTGGCCAACATGGTGAAACCCTGTCTCTACTAAAAATACGAAAATTAGCCAGGCATGGTGGTGTGTGCCTGTAATCCTGCTACTCGGGAGGCTGAGGCAGGAGAATGCTTTGAACCCGAGAGGCAGAGGTTGCGGTGAGCCAAGATCACACCACTGCACTCCAGCCTGGGTAACAGAGTGAGATTCCATCTCAAAAATAAATAAATAAAATAAAGTAAAAATAAAAAATGAAAATCAGGAAACTGTACCTTGGAGAGGTTAATTAATTTGAAGGAGCTCATAGCTTAGGTTGATTCCAAAGTCTGTGCTCTTAGAAACATTAACAAGCCCTAGTTATAATTTCCCGTGGCAAGAATGAGAAATGCAGGTTTTCAGGCTTAGAAGGATTTTTAAGTTTACCAGGCAGGAGTAGATAGTGTAAGTTGCCAAAATGTGTGATGCTACAGAACCCCATATGAGCCACTTCAGGGGGAAGGAATCTCACATTCATTCTAGGAGTTTGGGTTATTCTAGAACAGTTTTTTTTTTTTTAATCCGCCTTAGGTTCTGAATCCCTTTGTGAATTTGATGGACGCTAAGGATCCTCTCTTTGGAAAAATGCCTGTAAGCACCACATATATTTTTGTGCACGATTGCAGAGGGCTTGTGAAACTTTTGAAATCCAGCCGTGGACACCTAAAGAACCCTCCTTTAGGGCAGCATTTTCCAAGTGCAGGACACAGATCACTAGTAGTGTCCGAGATCAGTTTAACAATGCAAAGACCAATGTTTTATACTCTAATATTTATATTTTATAGTTACCTTCTATTTACGGCAAATGAGACTGGCTTTCCATTTATGGTAATGATATAAATTATTTTTTAAAAGCATACTTATTAGACCGGTAGCAATGGCTCACACCTGTAATACAAGAACTTTGGGAGGCCAAGGCAGGTGGATCAGGAGTTCAAGACTAGACTGGCCAACATGGTGAGATCCCATCTCTACAGAAATAGAAAAATTAGCTGGGCATGGTGTTATGAGCCTGTATCCCAGCTACTCAGTAGGCCAAGGCAGGAGAGTTGCTTGAACCTGGAACATGCCACTGTACTCCAATCTGGGTGACAGAGCAAGACTCCAACTCAAAAAAATAAAATAAAAAGTATACTTATTTAAAAAATAGCTGGGCACGGTGGCTCACGCCTGTATTCCCAGAACTTTGGGAGGCCAAAGCAGGTGGATTACCTGAGGTCAGGAGTTCAAGACCAGCCTGACCAACATGGAGAAACCCTGTCTCTACTAAAAATACAATAAATAAATAAAGGGAGTTCAAAGAAAAATATTAAACAATATATTCTATAATGTATTGTTAATGAACAATTACACTATTATATATAATGGTATCCTAGAGAGAGGAATCCTATATTAGATACAATAGTATCCTATATATATAGAGGTATCCTATATATAATGATAGGTTTTTTGTTTTTTTTTTTTGTTTTTTTTTTTTGAGACAGTCTCGCCCTGTTGCCCAGGCTGGAGTGCAATGGCACGATTTCGGCTCACTGCAACCTCCGCCTCCTGGGTTCAAGCAATTCTCCTGCCTCAGCCTCCCGAGTAGCTGGGATTACAGGGGCGCACCACCATGCCCTGCTAATTTTTTGTATCTTTAGTAGAGACAGGGTTTCACCATGCTGGCCAGGCTGGGGTCTCGAACTCCTGACCTGATGACCCACCTGCCTTAGCCTCATAAAGTGCTGCGATTACAGCCATAAGCCGCTGTGCCCGGCCTCTAATTTTCTGTATTTTTAGTAGAGATGAGGTTTCACTGTGTCAGCCAGAATGGTCTTAATCTCCTGGCCTCCTGATCTGCCTGCCTTGGCCTCCCAAAGTGCTGGGATTATAGGCATGAGCCACCACGCCTGGCCAATGATAATATTATTATAGTAAAAATTAAATAAATAATAGTAGAGGTAGTATAGACATGGAAAAAAAAAAAACACGAGGTTGATTCAGGAAATTTCTTTGGGGTTTCTACTTAGTGGAGTCACCGTGGCTTTACTTTAGTGTCATCTGCATTTCTAGGGTCCTTACTTGTCATTACCCTACTTTAGTGTCATCTGCATTTCTAGGGTCCTTACTTGTCATTACCCTACTTCTTTCTCAAGAGAGATACTATATAGGAATATTATAACTCTTAAAACCCCAAATCTCACCATTAGAAATATGGAACTGGAAAAAGCTGTTGACTTAATTCATATGCATATGTTGAACCTGAAGAGGTTCTAATTATTCCCATCTTTTTCTTTTCTTTTTTTTTTTTTTGAGACAGAGCCTCACTCTGTCACCCAGGCTGGAGTGCACTGGCACGATCTTGGAACCTCCACCTCCTGGGTTTAAGCAGTTCTCCTGCCTCAGCCTCCTGAGTAGCTGAGATTACAGCCATGCACCATAATGCCCAGCTAATTTTTTGTATTTTTAGTAGACACGGGGTTTCACCATGCTGGCCAGGCTGGTCTTGAACTCCTCACCTCAAGATATGCCCACCTCGGCCTCCTAAAGTGCTGGGGTTACAGGTGTGAGCCACCGTGCCTGGCCTATTCCCATCTTTTTTTTCTGGAGTTGTGTACCTCTGCTCAAACTGTTTTATTTTTATTTTTTGAGATGGGGTTTAGCCATGTTGCCCAGGCTGGTCTCCAACTCCTGAGCTCAAGCCATCCCCTCGACTCAACTTCCCAAAGTGCTTAGATTACAGATGTGAGCCACCATTCCAGCCACAAATTGTTTAAAGGGGCAATGAGTGTAGGGGGCCAAGAGGAAAATGCAGAAATGTAAATAGGAAGCTTCCAGTTACATGATTAACCTGATAACTTATTTATGCAAGTTCAAAAATAATTATGCATTTCAGAGTTGGTTGTTCAAAACCTTGCTGTGGCCTTTGGGATAGTTCTATAAACTAACGATTATTAATTATTGATAAGATTCATTGATCATTTATTATGTGCCACACATTGTGCTGAGAACTTCAAATGTTTAACACTCCTAACATGCACATGAAGTGGTTTCCTTTTACACTTAGTCCCCCTTTAATTAAATGAAGACGACGTTCAAATAGGTAGTAAATGACAGTGCTAGGATTTAAATACAGATCTGACTTGTCCCTCAACTCCCCCACGATCTTGCTTTTTTAACCAATTCGTGTCTCCTCCCTAAACTAGAGGGGACATCATCTCTTTAATGGTCGCTTTTTCATCCGTTAGAATACCTCCTCATCTGAGATAAAACCCAACCAAGAATCTCTGCCTTACCTGAGCAACAAGCCTCACGCTGGACAAAAACCCCAGGCTCAACACTCCCAAATCCACCCGGATTCTCATCCCCACCCCCTTAAAGGATTTCTGCATTGCTTGGCTGAGACCCCACTCTTGAGGATAATCTCTCAATTCTTAAGGAAACATCCTCCCTCCTTGAAGCCCTCACTCAATCCTGAGGATGTTCTCTCCCAAATATTTCAGAGCGGGACCGACTACAAATGGAGCCCAATGCAAAATGAAAGCATAAAGGCCCCTACTGTACGACTGCCCTGCTGGTTTGCCCACGAAGCCGGCCGTGCTTCAACGATACCCTTTCCGTAAAGGGAGAGGCCACCTTTGTCATAATCTTGCGGACCCAGAGTGGGAGATCCTGAGACCTGACGTGGAGGGGTGGGGCAGTGGTAGCCACCAATTTCTAGAGACTTTCGTTCGAGAGCACACCCTAGGACAACCTCCGTGAATCTGGGATCACTTCCCTTGGCCCCGGCAGAAGCTGCCTTCCTACCTCTCCAGACAGCTGGGTGGTCCTCGCAACCGAGCCGGGGCTCCACCTTCTGGGTGTGTGGGCCTCGCAGCGTGGGGCCTATTGCCTGGGCAACCGACGCCGTGAGAGGTGCATTGTGGTCTGCAACAAAATGCAGGAGAAAGATCCTGAGGGAACCATGGAGTCCATGGACCAATGGAAGAATGCCGTGGACGCCGTCAAGCCAATAGGGACGCGCGGTGAGGGGCGGGGTCGGCGGGAGCAGGGCGGGGCCTGAGCACTAGGCGGCGGCGACTGGCGTGGGGCGGCTTAGATGCGCCACGGCTTCGGTAGCGACAGCAGCTCAATCTTTGACTGAGCAGTGCTAGCACCTCCTCCAGGAGACTGTTGCTGTCAGCCAGCCCCCTTCTCCACGGTGAGAAACTCTGGGGGCTGGGGGGGTGTCCTCGCTGCCTCATTTCACCCTCTCCGGACTTAACCCGCCGCGTAGCCCGAGCTTCCTGAGAAGTGGGGTGGGGGGCGTCGTCCCGTGGTGGCGCGGGCCGGGGGAGGGGGTGTGCATCTAGTGCCTGGGGGGCGCGGCCCAACTCCTCCACCCTGGGCCTTGCCCACTAGGTAACCATGTGCGACCGAAAGGCCGTGATCAAAAATGCGGACATGTCGGAAGAGATGCAACAGGACTCGGTGGAGTGCGCTACTCAGGCGCTGGAGAAATACAACATAGAGAAGGACATTGCGGCTCATATCAAGAAGGTGAGGACGGGCGCGGGGCTGAGGCGCAGCTGGGAGCAGGGGGTTCCTTCCCCTTCCCCGATCCTGCGTTCCTAGGGCGCCTGACAGGTCCCGGGAGCACCCCGGGCGTCTCGGGGCGTAGAAGCTTCCAGAAAGGACGCGGATGCATTTTGCGCTCCTCTGGAGAAGACCAGACCCTCGGCGTCCGAAGTTTTTTTTTTTTTTTAATTACCCAGCTCGGCGGGGGGAAAGCGCCACCTAGCAACGGTATCTAAGATCAGGGAGCAGCGGTTCCCCCTTCTGTGTGGTTCCTGCGCTGAGGATCCATCTGGGTGTTCCGGAGGGGGGAGCTGCGTGGGAGTTTCCAGCCGGGCCGGGAGGAGATCTTGCCAGCCTTCCAGTGGGGAGTTAGTCGGCAGTTGAGGGAAAGTGGGTGGTGGCGGGGCTGGGGACTGGGGTGGGGGCTTGGTAAATGGCAGTCTGTAGAAAGCGCTGGCAGGACTGCCAACTTCTCTAGCAATGTTTGCTGGAAGGGAAGAAAGCTGGCAGCCTAAGCCGTGGGAGGGTTCCAGTCGAGAATGGAAAGATGAAAGACTTTAGATGGAACAGAAATAAATGCCTTTTTTTTTTTTTTTGACAAACGCAGCAGTGCGTGCGTCTAGCTTGCAAGCGCGTTACTCCTCTTCATAGCTTTAAAAGAGGTTTTCGCACTGCGTGCAGTTAGAGTAGCTAAATCTTGTGTGACTCTCCGCAAACACTTGTAAGAATTTTGTAGAGAAAGATTACTTTTGCCGCCCTCTGCCCCCACAGGCATTCTACTCCCAGTACCTCTTAGGGTGGGGGAAATGGTAAAGAGTTGTTCCTACAACTTGCTAACCTAGTGGACAGGGTAGTAGGTTAGCATCATCCGAATACATGTGGAGAGGACGGCTGTTTGGATAATAATTAAGGATAAAATTGAGCCAGTTGACTGTCAGATTCTATTTATAGCAACGGTGGCGTGCTTAAGTATTGTGTCCCTGAAAATTTAATTTTGATCTGCAATCATTTGGTATACAATGCCATTTGAAGTTTTATCCTTTCTGAAGTCTTGTTTGAGTGTTGCAGGCTGCAGTTAAGATCTTTGTGGTGAGGAATTGGAAGTGCTAATTTTTTTTTTTTTTTTTTTTTTACCATTTTCTTGGATTGCGGGGGCATGGCAAATACAGTTAGGGTAGTTTAGTTCTTTACACGAACGTGATAAACTACACCTGTTGATGTCACCTTCTGTCAATGAGTAAGAATACTATAGAAGGTATGAAGGTGTAATTAACCGGAATAACAAAGCATCTTGTCTTTAAGGCTGACATTTCTTCCTTTGACCTCCTCAGCCTCCATTCCCATCTTAGCTCAGACTGCAAGTATGTTTGTATTAATGCACTATGTAGGCGACTTGGAGCTGGGGAACATTCTTTCATTAGAAGAATTTGCAGATGCTAACGTTCTTCCTTTCTGCCCCTACAGGCTCTGGCTTATCTGGGAGGCAAACACCTCTGGTAATTAAAATTCTACTTTTTTTCCCCCCCCCCAGGAATTTGATAAGAAGTACAATCCTACCTGGCATTGCATCGTGGGGAGGAACTTCGGTAGTTACGTGACACATGAAACCAAACACTTCATCTACTTCTACCTGGGCCAAGTGGCCATTCTTCTGTTCAAATCTGGTTAAAGGCATGGACTGAAAAGGCCGGGCGTGGTGGCTCATGCCTGTAATCCCAGCACTTTGGGAGGCCAAGGTGGGCGGATCACCTGAGGTCAGGAGTTCAAGACCAGCCTGGCCAACATGGTGAAACCCCATCTCTACTAAAAATACAAAAATTAGCCGGGTGTGGTGGTGCACACCTGTAATCCCAGCTACTCGGGAGGCTGAGGCAGGAGAATCACTTGAACCTGGGAGGTGGAGGTTGCATTGAGCTGAGATCAGGCCATTGTACTCCAACCTGGGCAACAGAGTGAGACTCCATCTCATTAAAAAAAAAAAAAAGCATGGACTGTTGTGCCACACACCCAGTGATCCATCCAAAAACAAGGACTGCAGCCTAAATTCCAAATACCAGAGACTGAAATTTTCAGCCTTGCTAAGGGAACACCTTGATGTTTGAAACTTTGTGTTTTGTACAGGGCATTCTCTGTACTAGTTTGTTGTGGTTATAAAACAATTAGCAAAATAGCCTACATTTGTATTTATTTTCTATTCCATATTTTTGCGCCACGTTGTTTTCTCTCAAAATCCATTCCTTTAAAAAATAAATGTTGCAGATGTGTATGTGTGTGAATTACAATTTTTTCAAATAACATTGTGTTGAAGATGGTCACTTGATCAGATCTCCAGGTTGGTTGGGATGAGTCCGTCCTTACAGAAGTAAGTTTCTGTGGGGTATTTCAGTACTCTTGGTCACATTCTCACCCATCCTGCAACTGTTGTGCATGTCGAAAAATGCAATGCATGGCAGAGACACATTTAAATCTTAGTCCTAATCTGAAAAAAATCAGTGTTTAAGGATAATTGTTAAGACATTGATACAGAATGTTCTGGGCCTTTGGGCTTGGGTGGTGGCGATGGATATATAGTACTTTAAGCTTTCTATGGCTATAAAATGGAAGTAAACTCAAAGTTGGGATAATGAAACTGATTCAAGGACCCTTGGCTAGCCCCCTCCCCTGTCTAGAAAGAAGAGGGCCTTAAGGGAAGTAAATGTTTTGAGCAGTCTTCATGCTCTCTCTTCTAATAAAGTCTTAGCAGGAGTTTATATTATCAGCGTGCTGTACTTTGCTGTGGTCAGGAACAGTGTGAATAGATGCCTTTTCCTGAAAAGACCCAATTAAGCTGGGAATGCGTAGCCATCAAAGGTTTCCTGCTATCAGTTTTAGAGGACTACAGTTTTAGAAAAGCAAATAGGGCAGACTTTTAGGTAGAAAGGAAATACAACAGGCTGAAACAACCCACACCCATCTTGGGAAACTTCCCTTGGATCTCTAAGAGGCCATTGGGATTTCTCAGCAGCCAGGCGACTGCTACACGGAAGAGGGCGATAGATTGGAGTTGATGGGTGGTAACTCCCATCGTAAGAGAATTAGGTCAGTAACCTCTTTGGAAGTTTATTTTTCTTCAGAATGTGTGGCTTTAAGAATCCTAGTGAAGTTCTGCTACTTTAGGACTGGAAGGGTTTCAGGGTAGAGGTGCAAAATTTTGACTGTGTGTGTGTGTGTGGTTTCACTCTTGTTGCCCAGGCTGGAGTGCAATGGTGCAATCTTGGCTAACCGCAACCTCCACCTCCCAGATTCAAGCAATTCTGCCTCAGCCTCCCAGGTAGCTGCGATTGCAGGCATGCACCACCACACCCAGCTAATTTTGTATTTTTAGTAGAGATGGGGTTTTTCCATGTTGGTCAGGCTGGTCGCGAACTCCCAACCTCAGGTGATCTGCCTGCTTCAGCCTCCCAAAGTACTGAGATTACAGGTATGAGCCACCACACCTGGCAATTTTGACTATTTATTGTAGCACTTTTTTCTGCTATCTGCAAAAAAGGATGAGGTACTATGGAATAAACAGGAGATTGCAATTGGGGTGATTTATGTTCATTCTTACATAAACGACTGAAAATGTTCCCATGATTCCATCTTTTTTCTAACTTTTTTTTTTTTTTTGAGACGGAGTTTCCCTCTTGTTACCCAGACTGGAGTGCAATGGCGCGATCTCAGCTCACCACAACCTCCGCCTCCTGGGTTCAGGCAATTCTCCTGCCTCAGCCTCCCGAGTAGCTGGGACTACAGGCGCGCACCACTATGCCCAGCTAATTTTTGTATTTTTAGTGGAGATGGGGTTTCACCTTGTTGACCAGGATGGTCTTGATCTCTTGACCTCGTGATCCACCCGCCTCGGCCTCCCAAAGTGCTGGGATTATAGGCGTGAGCCACCGTGCCTGGCCACTTTCATTTTTTTTTGAGACACGGTCACCTGTTGCCCAGGCTAGAATGCAGTGTGCGATCACAGCCCACTGCAGCTTCGACCTCCTGGGCCCAAGTGATCCTGTCACCTTAGCTTCCAAAGTAACTGGGACCACAAGTGTGTGCCACCATGCCCAGCTAACTTGAATTATTTGTAGAGCTGGAGTGTCCCTGTGTTGCCCAGGCTGGGCTCAAGCGATCCTCCCAAGGTGTTGGGATTACAGGTATGAGCCACCACACCTGGTTTAATTCATATCTTTTCTCTTTTCCCTCTTTAGTGACCTGGCTATATTTCTGTTTGAAGCCCACAAGGAATTTGGCCTCCAAAGCTTTAGCTTGTCGCGATAAGTCCTAGTCCGAACAGATGATCTGTCTCTAGCTATAGACCCAAAAGCTGATTCAAGACTGATTGATAGTGGGTTTCACCATGTTGGCCAGGCTGGTCTTGAACTGACCTCAGGTGAGCCACCCAAAAAAAAAAAAAAAAGACTGATAGCTAGACATTAACAGTTAAAAAAAAAAAAGCTGATAGCTAGACATTAACAGTTTTAGTTGAATTTGATCTGTCCCATATTTACTGTCAAGAAGTTGGCAGCTTTTTGTTTTTTATTCAGATGTGAGAAAACCACGTTGCTATGGAGAGAAGACAGGGTTGATGGTTTATGAAGTTCCTTCCAATGCCTGTTCTTTCCTGTTAATTTCAAAGGCCAATAGGCTCCAGCTGGCTGAAAAGAAAATGTAAGCTTAGTTTTTCTAAGCATTTATCAAATGCTCTTAGCTGCTGTTCTTTGAGAGACTTGTATGTAGCTAGCTGCATCTGGAAGCTTTTCAGTGATAGGGCAAGATCTTTTAAGTGAAGGTACATAAATGATCCTTACTGTGCTGGGCCAGGAAGCAACGTATCTGAATCCCTTTCCCATACCTTTGAACTAAGTTATCCACAAACTGTTAGCCAAGTCATAGACTCATTTTTCTTTTTTGAGACAGGGTCTCATCTCACTCTGTCACCAAGACTAGAGTACAGTGGCATGATCTCGGCTCACTGCAACCTCTGCCTCCTGGACTCAGGTGATCCTCCCACCTCAGCCTTCCAAATAGCTGGGACCACAGGTGTGCACCACCACACCTGGCTAATGTTTTTTTAATTTTTTGTAGAGATAGGGTTTCACCATGTTGCCCAGGGTGGTCTCAAACTCTTGGATTCAAGCAATCTGCCCGCCTTGGCCTCCCAAAGTGCTGGGATTACAGGCGTAGGCCACTGTGCCAGGCTGATTTCTACAATTTCTTAACAAGGCTCCTTTAAAACCTTAAGATTCGTCTACACTCAAAATAGTTACAGCTGGTTGCAGTGGCTCCTGTCCTTAATCCAGCAATTTGGGAGGCCAAGGTGGGAGGATCACTTGAGCCCAAGAGTTAGCCTGGGCAACACAGGGAGACCCTGTCTCTATAAAGAAAAAAAAGTTACAGCAGCCAGGTACAGTGGCTCACACCTGTAATCCCAACACTTTGGGAGGCTGAAGTGGGCGGATCACCTGACATCAGGATTTCAAGACCAGCCTGACCAACATGGTGAAACCCCGTTTCTACTAAACATACAAAAATGAGCCAGGTGTGGTCATAGGTGCCTGTAATCCCAGCTATGTGGGAGGCCAAGGCTTGAGCCTGGGAGGCAGAGGTTGCAGTGAACTGAGATCACACCACTGCACTCCAGCCTGGATGATGGAGGGAGACTCTGTCTCATAAATAAATAAGTAAATAAAAATTAAAATAAAAAAATTAACCAGGCACTATGGCATATGCCTGTAGACCCAGCTATTTGAGAGGCTGAGGTGGGAGGATTGCTTGAGTCCAGGAGTTTAGGCTGCAGTGGGCTATGATCTTGGAATGATCACAAGTGATCTTGGCTCACTCCAGCCTGAGTGACAGAGCAAGACTCTGTCTCTTAAAAAATTTATGGCCTCGACCAGGCGTGGTGGCTCACGCCTGTAATCCTAGCACTTTGGAAGGCCCAGGTGGGTGGATCACCTGAGGTCAGGAGTTCAAGACCAGCCTGGCCAACACAGTGAAACCCCATCTTTAAAAAAAAAAATGTATGGCCTCATTTTAACATCACTGGACTGCATTCATGGAGAAGTTTGAAAAATGACAAAAAATGAAAAAGAAAACAGTGGACTATAATGAGACAAAAAGTCGTCCCAGCTCCATCTCTGAGTACTGAAGGAGGTTAGCTTATATAGTTTTCAAACATTTTTTTTGCTATAAAACAAGCTTATGCTTACAAAAAAGCTCCCTACAGGAGTTTGCTGGTAAATTTATTTTCCGGCAAGAACTTAGTGAACCGTTTTCTTCTTTTTTTTTGAGACAATTCTCCCTCTGTTGCCCAGGCCAGAGTGCAGTGGCACGATCTTGGCTGGTGCAACCTCTGCCTTCCAGGCTCAAGCTATTCTCCTGCCTCAGCCTCCCAAGTAGCTGGGATTATAGGCACCTACCACCATGCCCAGCTATTTTTGTATTTTTAGTAGAAATGGGGTTTCACCATGTTGGCCAGGCTGGGATTACAGGTGTGAGCCACCATGCCCAACCTAGTGAACAGTTTTCTATATGACAAGTACTGGGTCACATAGTAGCTTTTTTTTTTTTTTTGAGACAGAGGCTTGCTATATTGCCCAGGCTGAAGTGCAGTGGCGTGATCTTGGCTCACTGCAACCTCTGCCTCCCAGATTCAAGTGATTCTCCTGCCTCAGCCTCCCAAGTAGCTGGGATTTATAAGCCCATGCCACCACGCCCAGCTAATTTTGTATCCTTTCAGAGATGGGGTTTTTCCATGTTAGACAGGTTGGTCTTGAACTCCTGACCTCAAGTGATCCGCCTGCCTCAGCCTGCCTAAGTGCTGGGATTACAGGTGTGAGCTACCACGCCCAACCCACATTGTAGCTTTTTGTGGAGGAGGACTGAAAGAATAATGAAAAATAAATTTTCCTTACCCCCTTCAAGAAAAAATGACAAGTATCATCAAAAGGCAAACTCGTTTACTGGTTCAGCACACAATTGTCATGATCATTAGTCCTCTGACTTGGGCCTAGACAGTCCTAGTAGGCTGAAAGGTTGATTCAGGTACAATTAAGTTTTCTGGTTAAAGTCATCATTGGTTTCAAATAAATGATCTATCACCCACTCTGGAGGGCAGCACCAGCAGAGAAGCTATAAATACACTTCAAAACTGAGCCTCAGTGCTGGTTGTACCTTAACCACACACTCTACAGCCAAGAGAAATTAGCGGTTGAGCAAAAATACAGCCAAATGCCTCTGGGAGATGGACTGAAGCAACTCCAAAGAAAGCCGTAAAAAAGTGACAGGAGGCCGGACGCAGGAGGCCGGACGCGGTGGCTCACGCCTATAATCCCAGCACTTTGGGAGGCTGAGGCGGGTGGATCACAAGGTCAAGAGATTGAGACCATCCTGGTCAACAAGGTGAAACCCCGTCTCTACTAAAAATACAAAAATTAGCTGGGCATGGTGGTGTGCGCCTGTAGTCCCAGCTACTCGGGAGGCTGAGGTAGAATTGCTTGAACCCAGAAGGTGGAGGTTGCGGTGAGCCAAGATCGTGCCATTGCACTCCAGTCTGGGTAACAACAGTGAAATTCCATCTCCAAAAAAAAAAAAAAAAAAAAAAAGTGACAGGAATTTGTTCTTCTACTTGGAGAGTGTTCAATTCAAACATGAGTCCAAAGTATGTATCCTTAAGAGGAGATGTTCTGCTGTTGTCTCATTTGCCAAAATATCCTTCAGTTCCAGGCTTTCAACAGGGTGTGATTGGTTCATGTTCCATGATAGGAAAGGAATTAAAGTTTGAAGGCAGAATGAATGGCCACAATACCTGATGTTAGACTTTCATAAGTGACCTTGTGAAAGCCTGCATCTTCTATCATCTCCTTGAACTCTTCCTAAAACACAAGGAAAGATACAGCCAGGGTAGCCTGGATTTCAACTGTAGGGCCTTTGTTTTAAGCCAGAGAAGTTTCATACCTCAGACGGGAACCTTCGGATACTCTCTACAAGGTATTGATAGGACTTCCAGTCTCCAGCAATGACCTCTCCCAGGACAGGGATGACCTGGAAGCTATACAGATCATAAAGCCTAAGCAAACAAAAAGATCAAAGATTAAGATTAGAACATTCCCCTCATTTCTTCCTGAGATAAGAAGAAGGGGTTGGCACGCTGGCTCATGGCCGGGCGTGGTGGTCACGCCTGTAATTCTAACACTTTGGGAGGCCGAGGTGGGTGGATCACCTGAGGTCAGGAGTTCAAGACCAGACTGGCCATCATGGTGAAACCCCATCTTAAAAAAAAAAAAAAAAAAAGAAGAAGAAGGAAGGACTAAACCTGGGGTCACAAACTCAAATGCCTACAGGGATCAAGAAGAACCTGAATTAAGTGGGCCAGGTACGAGACCAGTAGGAACAGTGACAGATACAGTTAGGAAGTACTATAAAGTAGAGAAGGGACAGTTACTACTCAGTCCTTTCTGTGGCATGTGGGGATATGGGCCTACCCAGAGCTGCCATGTATCTAATTTCTCAAGTGAAGCTTGAAATCCAGATTTTTACGTAAAATTTAAATTTGTTTTTGTTTGTTTGTTTTGTAGAGATATGGTCTCACTGTATTGCACAGGCTGGTCTTGAACTCTGGGCTCAAGCGATCCTACCCCCTCAGCCTCCCAAAGTGCTGGGATTACAAGCATGAGCCACCGCACTTGGCCCAAATTTCCTGATTTTCTTTTTAAGCCAGTCAAATTTAGCAGTGGGGGGTTGAATAGCAACGTGAATGCCAGTAGTAAGTTCTGATAACCCACTGCCATTGGACCAGCCATTTCCTGATTTTTAAATATGGGCCTCTAAGTACATTTCTTAAAATACATACGTAAGCCAACTTGGATCTAGTTTGAGACCCTTCTGGCCTAGATACTGTCATTCAGAACTGGCTGATCTCTGGTACTCTGAACTACAAAGTTCATGCTTACAGCTTACTGGCTATTTTCAATCCATTTCGGGGTGGGAAACCTGGGCTATCCAATGAAGATAAAGTCCTGTTAACAGTGCCAACCTTGATATGAGGGGATTGTTCACTTGGCTAAATTCCAGACACAGAAACCGTCCTCCTGGTTTCAGCACCCGATGGGCTTCCTGGAGTGCCTGAGCAAGACAAGGAACAACAGGACATACTCCTCAGTAGACTCACTCAGTTCCATGAGGCCAAGACAGCTTCAGCTTCTGTAGGCATTACAAGAGGTATCATGGCCCACACACCTCGTTTGTTCTCACTTGTGAAGCTGTAACAGCAGCAATTAAACCCACATATCCCAAATACTATAGGCATTCTGCTGCTCGTGACTATACAAAGCTAGCTGGGGTCATCTACACCGACTACAGATTGGTACAACTCCATGAAAGACAAGTTTAGAGTTACCTATCAAAATTGCAATGGATATTCTCTCTGATAAAGCAATTTTACTTCAAGGAAACTATCTTACAGAAATGTTTCTACTGTGGAAATGACATGCATGTGGGTTATTCACTGTTATTTTATTTTTTTTGAGATGGAGTCTTGCTCTGTCACCCAGACTGGTGTGCAGTGCCATGATCTTGGCTCACTGTAACCTCCGCCTCCCAGGTTCAAGTGATTCTCCTGCCTGCTTCAGGCTCCCAGGTAGCTGAACTACAGATGCCTGCCACCAGGCCCAGCTAACTTTTTTTTTTTTTTTTTTTAGATGGAGTTTCCCTCTTGTTGCCTAGGCTGGAGTCCAATGGCAAAATTTCAGCTCACTGCAACCTCCATCTCCCAGGTTTAAGCACTTCTCCTGCCTCAGCCTCCCAAGTAGCTGGGATTACAGGCACACACCACCAAGCCTAACTAATTTTATAGTTTTAATAGAGACGGGGTTTCACCATGTTAGCCAGGATGGTCTCGATCTCCTGACCTCAAGTGATCCACTCACCTTGGCCTCCCAAAGTGCTGGGTCTACTGGTGTGAGCCACTGCACCTAGCTGGTTATTCACTTTTTTTCTCTTTTTTCTTTTCTATTGGAACAGACAAGTGCTGCACTGCTGTTCCAGGTTATTCACTTTTAAATAAAAGTATAGGAAGACATTGTTTTGGACTAAGTTTCTGCACTAGGTTCCAACAGACCAGACTAAGCATCAAAATGGAGTCACCATCTTGTGACTCCACGAGTTCCATGTCACCAAACCCAAACTAAGCTGTCAGCTGACCTTCTGAGAGATCAGGAGAAAGAGATACAGCCAATTTCTCTAACACTCCAGTTTAAATTTGTAATTCACATGATAATGAAGTTCCTTCTGCTTTAATCCTCACACAAAAAAGAGAGCCTGAGGTAGCCTGATATAAACTACCTCGTTTTTTATTTTTATTTTTTAGAGACAAGGTCTCCCTGTTATGTTGCCCAGCTTGGAGTATAGTGGTTATTCACGGGTGTGATCATACTACAGCCTTGAACTCCTGGGCTCAAGCAGTCCTTCCGCCTCAGCCTCCCATGTAGCTCGGACTACAGGCATGTGCCACTGAACCTGATCAATCAGTTATCTATCTATCTATCTATCTATCTATCTATCTATCTATCTATCTATCATCTGAGGTGGGGTATCATGTTGCCCAGGCTGTTCTCTGACTCCTGGGCTCAGGTAGTCCTCCTGCTTCAGCCTCCCATGTAGCTCGGACTACAGGCATGTGCCACTGAACCTGATCAATCAGTTATCTATCTATCTATCTATCTATCTATCTATCTATCTATCTATCTGTCATTTGAGGTGGGATATCATGTTGCCCAGGCTGTTCTCTGACTCCTGGGCTCAGGTAGTTCTCCTGCCCCAGCCTCCCAAAGTGCTGGGATTATAGGCAAGAGCCATCGAACCTGACCCCATCAGTTATTTATTTATTTATTTATTTTTAAGATGGCGTTTCACCATGTTGGTCAGGCTGGTCTTGAACTCCCGACCTCAGGTGATCCGCCCGCCTTGGCCTCCAAAGTGCTTGGATTGCAGGCGTAAGCCACCACGCCCGGCCCAGTTACTTATTTTATTTATTTATTTATTTATTTATTTATTTATTTTTGAGACAGAGTGTCACTCTGTCGCCCAGGCTGGAGTGCACTGGCGTGATCTCTGCTCACTGCAACCTCTGCGCCCGGTCAAAAAAATTTTTTTAATTCAATGAAATAATAAACTGGCTGCTGACATAGGAAACGTGACAGAAACAAAACTGAAGAACACTGTAAAGAACACACCACATGGCTAAGCACGGTGGCTCATGCCTGTAATCCTAGCACTTTGGGAAGCCGAGGCAGACGGATCACAGGGTCAGGAGTTTGAGACCAGCCTGCCAACATGGTGAAACCCTGTCTCTACTAAAAACATAAAAATTAGCTGGGCATAGTAGCACACGCCTATAATCCCAACTACTGGGGAGGCTGAGGCAGGAGAATTGCTTGAACTTGGGAAGCAAAAGTTGTAGTGAGCCAAGATCACACTACTGCACTCCAGCTTGGGCAACAGAGCGAGACTCTGTCAAAAAAAAAAAAAAATACCACTCAACCAAAGGACCCAGGCAGCTGGACACCATGTTACTAAAATGAAACTCTTTGCTTTGCACATGGTCTTCAAGTGTTTTGAACAGAATATATTAAAGTTGGAATAAAGGCCAGGCAAAATAGCTCAAGCCTGTAATCCCAGCATTTTGGGAGGCTGAGGTGAGAGGATTGCTTGAGCTCAGGAGTTTGACATCAGCCAAGGCAACACGGTGAAACTCTATCTCTACAAAAAATAAAAATAAAAAATAAAGTAGGAATAGTGGCCCAGTGTGGTGGCTCACGCCTGTAAACCGAACACTTTGGGGGGCCCAGGCAGGCAGATCACGAGGTCAGGAGTTGGAGACAAGCCTGACCAACATGGTGAAATCCTGTCTCTACTAAAAACACAAAAATTAGCCAGGCAAGGTGGTACGCGCCTGTAATCCCAGGGGAGCCTGAGGCAAGAGAATCGCTTGCACCTGGGAGGCAAAGGTTGCAGTGAGCCAAGATCGCCACTGCCCTCCAGCCTGGGCAACAGATTGAGACTTCATCGCCAAAAACACAAAAACCAAACAAATATAAAGTAGGAACAAAGAAGAGCTCCATCAGATTAAGAGCTGAACATTCCCTTTTTCCTGTAGAAAAGCCAGGAATCCAGCAAACTTTTGTCAAAATAGTGTTTGAGGGCCCTTGTCTTTGTCAGCCTCTGACATGTCTCTGATCTTCTGCAAATTCACAGGGTCAGAGAGCTTCAAAAGTATGAGGAAATACACAAAACGCCAGAGCATGACTAGAAATCCCAAAGACGTGAATACCAATCCAAGACAGACAGACTTCTATGGAGATCAGCTGTGTGGTGTTAGTCTCTCACTGGGTGGGGTGGTGGGTATCTGTAATCCCAGTTACTTGAGAGGCAGATGTGGAAGGACTGCTTGAGCCCAGGAGACTGAGACCAGCCTGGACAACACTGCAAGACCCCATCTTAAAAAATAAAACTTGGCCAGGCGTGGTGGCTCACGCCTGTAGTCCCAGCACTTTGGGAGGCCAAGGCGGGCAGATCCTGAGGTCAAGAGATCGAGACCATCCTGGCCAACACAGTGAAACCCTGTCTCTACTACAAATACAAAAATTAGCTGGGCATGGTAGCAGGTACCTGTAATCCCAGCTACTTGGGAGGCTGAGGCAGAAGAAACACTTGAACCCGGGAGGCAGAGGTTGCGGTGAGCCAATATCACGCCACTGTGTTCCAACCTGGGCAACAGAGTGAGACTCCATCTCAAAAATAAAATAAAATAAATAAAACTCTCCTCCTTTCCTCAACTCATGGTAGCTCTGCAACAGAGGTAATTTCCTGAGAATCACGCAAGCTCTGGATGCGGCCATTGGTACCTGATCAATGTGTGTGACATTCCGAATCCCAAAGGCAATGGTGTAAATATCAAACTTGTCATCATCAAAGGGCAGTTCTTCAGCATCTCCTAATACCCATGCAAGTCCTGAAAGAGAAAATGAGTTTGAGGTCTCAGTCTGGGCAGCTGTCTTTCCTGTACCCAGTGAATGTACTTCATGTAGAGCACTGTGCTTGAGAGCCTAAGTCCTGGGCGTTAGGCTCCCTGGAGTCAAATCCCAGGTTCACCATTTATTCGTTGCATATTCCTTATGTATACATATTTTCCCTTTTATATTTTTAATTTATTTTTAAGTAATTATTATTTTTTAGACATGGGGGGGTGGTCTTGCTTTCTTACCCAGGCTGGAGAACAGTGGCACAATCACAGCTAACTGTACCCTCAAACACCTAGACTCAAAGGATCCTCCTGCCTTAGCATCCCCAGTAGTTGGGACTATAGGAACACACCACCCTGTCCAGCTAATTTTTAAAAATTTCTTCTGGAGAGATGAGGTCTCGTCATCTTGCCCAAGCTGATCTCAATCTCCTGAGCTCAAGCAATCCTCCCGCCTCAGCCTCCCAAAGTGCTGGGATTACAGATGTGAGCCACTGTGCCTGACCTGTATATTCTTTTTTTTTGAGTGCAGTGGCACAATCTCAGCTCACTGCAACCTCCGCCTCCCAGGTTCAAGCAATTCTCCTGCCTCAGCCTCCTGAGTAGCTGGGACTATAGGCACATGCCACCACATCCACCTAATTTTTGTATTTTTAGTAGACGGGGTTTCACCATGTTCGCCAGGATGGTCTCGATCTCTTGACCTCGTGAATCCCAAAGTGCTGTGATTACAGGCATTAGCCACCATGCCCGGCCCTGTATATTCTTGAATAAACTACTTTGTCTCAGTTTCCTCATCTGTAAAATGGAGTTTAAAACTAGTGCCTATGGCTGGTCTGAAGGTAGTGAGTTACCTCAATTGATTGTTCACAGTCAGTTACAGATGGAACTCCTTGTTCTACTCTTTCCCCCTTCTCACTACTGCACTTGACTAGTCTAAAAAAAAATTAAAAAAAGAAAAAAAGAAAAACTAGGCTGGGCGTGGTAGCTCAAGCCTGTAATCCCAGCACTTTGGGAGGCTGAGGCGGGTGGATCACGAGGTCAAGAGCTCGAGACCATCCTGGTCAACATGGTGAAACCCCGTCTCTACTAAAAATACAAAAAATTAGCTGGGCATGGTGGCGTGTGCCTATAATCCCAGCTACCCAGGAGGCTGAGGCAGAAGAATTGCCTGAACCCAGGAGGCGGAGATTGCGGTGAGCTGAGATCACGCTATTGCACTCCAGCCTGGGTAACAAGAGCAAAACTCCGTCTCAAAAAAAAATTCCAAAACTTCTCAAACATTTCATTTTTCTAATCCATCATATATATATACACACACACATACACACATATATATATATTTGAGACAGATTTGCTCTGTCGCGCAAGCTAGAGTGCAGTGGCGTGATCTTGGCTCACTGCAACCTCTACCTCCTGGGTTCAAGCAATTCTCCTGCCACAGCCTCCTGAGTAGCTGAGATTACAAGCACCTGCCACCATGCCTGGCTGATTTTTTTGCATTTTTAGTACACAGATATACATATGTATATATACACACATTTTGTTTTTGAGCTGGAGTTTTGCTCTTGTTGCTCAAGTTGGAGTGCAACGGCACGATCTCGGCTCACCGCAACCTCAGTGTCCCAGGTTCAAGCGATTATCCTGTGTCAGCCTCCTGAGTATCTGGGATTACAGGTATATACCACCACGCCTAGCTAATTTTGTATATTTAGTAGAAACAGTGTTTCTCCACGTTGGTCAGCCTGGTCTCAAACTCCCAATCCCAGGTGATCCACCCACCTCAGTCTCCCAAAGTGCAGGGATTACAGGCATGAGCCACCATGCCTGGCCATCAAACATATATTTTTTAAAGCTCCTGCCCCTAAGATCTTCCATTTGGGAAGAAAAGTCCTACGTAAAAAATATAAATAAAACACATAACCACGCTACACATTTTTTAAAAAGTAGTTAAGCTACATATTAACTTTTTTTTTGAGATGGAGCCTCGCTTTGTCACCCAGGCTAGAGTGCAATGGTACAATCTTGGCTCAGCAACCTCCACCTCCTGGGTTCAAGCAATTCTCCTGCTTCGGCCTCCCAAGTAGTTGCGATTACAGGTGCGTACCACCACGCCTGGTTAACTTTTGTATTTTTAGTAGAGAAGGGGTTTCACCATGTTGGCCAGGCTGATTTTCAACTTTGGACCTTAGGTGACCCACCTGCCTCAGTCTCCTAAAGTGTTGGGATTACAGGCATGAGCCACTGCACCCAACCAGACATTAACTTTTATATTTCTCTTCTTTTGTTTTTGAGACAGAGTCTCACTCTGTTGCCCAGGCTGCAGTGCAACTGTGCAATCTCAGCTCACTGCAACCTCCACCTCCCAGGTTCAAGTGATTCTCCTGCCTCAGCCTCCCGAGTAGCTGGGATTATAGGCGCCCACCACCATGCCTGGCTAACTTTTGTATTTTTAGTAGAAATGGAGTTTGGCCAGGTTGGTCTCTCAAACTCCTGACCTCAGATGATCCACCTATCTCGGCCTCCTGAAGTGCTTGGATTACAGGCATGAGCCAGCGTGCCCAGTCTAACTTTTATATTTATTAAATAATTTCTTTTTTTTTAATTATTAAATAATTTCTAAGGTCCTCCTACTTAGTTTCTACTTTTTTTTCATGATGTTTTTGCAAAGGTTTGATTATTGGAAACTGACAGAGCAAAGATGAAAGATAAAACTGTATTATGGGGCACTTAATAATTCTTACACAGTCTGGGCACCATGAGTCAGGAGATGAGGTCAAGAGATCAGGAGATCGAGACCATACTGGCCAACATGGTAAAACCCTCTCTCTACTAAAATACAAAAAAATTAGCTGGGCATGGTGGTGCATGCCTGGAATCCCAGCTACTCAGAAGGCTGAGGCAAGAGAATTGCTTGAACCCAGGAGGCGGAGATTGCAATGAGCCGAGATCACACTACTGCACTCCAGCCTGGTGACAGAGCGAGACTCTGTCTCAAAAAAAAAAAACAACCAATAATAATAATAATAAATAATTGCTAAGCACATGCATTTGTCTTGGTGGTTAGGAAAGCTCGAAGGGCAGTCTATGCGAAAGAAGAAATGATTCCAGAAATGGAACACTGCGTATCATTTCAATATCTTTGTTTTCCGTTCTTTATGGCTGAGTACCAGAGAGAAGGGAAACATGTTTGTCAGTAGGAGTAAGGAAACATAGTTCCTTTGTCTAAAAACACTAGTGACTCTCTGCCTTCTGACTGGTATTGATGGTTAACAAAGAAGCCCTTCAGCTTGGGGGCCAAGTGGGCTGCAGTTCATCCAGGCAGCTCCTTCTGGGGGTGGGAGGAGGAGAAGGAGGAAGAATTGAGCTAAAATAACCATAGACACTCTTGATGGGGGAGGAGAAGGAGAGAAATGCTGAAGTAGACCTGAGGGACATTCTTTGTTGTATACCACTGCCCCTCACAGTGGCCATCTGTGGCGCCTGGCCAGCATGGAAGAGCGCAGAGTAGCAGCTCTGCAAAGCTGGGCCAGGCGCAGTGCCTCATGCCTGTAATCCTAATACTTTGGGCGTCAGAGATGGGTGGATCACATGAGGCCAGGAGTTCCAGACTAGTCTAGCCAACATGGTAAAACTCCATCTCTACTAAAAACACAAAAAAATGGCTGGACACAGTGGCTCATGCCTGTAATCCTAGCTAACTACACTCGTTGTGGCTGAAGGGCAAGTTATTTCTTTTTCTACTTTTTAAATTTCTTTAGCGACAGGGTCTCAGTTTGTCACTCAGGCTGGAGTACAGAGGTGCAATCATAGCTCACTGTAGCCTGGAACTCTTAGGCTGAAGTAATCCTCCCATCTTGGCCTCCCAAGGTTCTGGGATTACAGGTGTGAGCCATGGGCCCACCTACAATATGGGCCCAGCCTCGAGTTCTTTCTTTACAGGAAATGAGAGGTCCAGTTGCACAGCAATCAAACTATCCTTGGACAGGAGTATAGAATGGACAGGAGAATAGAATGGTTCAAGAATGGGAATGATATACTAAGGTCACCCTGAAGCTGCTGGGAAATGACAGCAAAACTTTTCTCAGGGGCTGAGAGCTGAGATCTGAAGATTCAACTCCAATTTGGGATGTGTCACTGAGAAGTTGTGTGACTTGGTTAAGATTCTTGACTTTGGGCTCTGGTGATCTCCCCAGTCACATAGGGCTGGGTAAGCTCACTCAATGGGTTGCTATGCATAAATAATGCATAAGACACCACACAAACGAGATTCAGCCATGCAACTGATCTTCAACCTGCCCATCGGTAAGTTTCCGAAAGCCAGAAGATAAAGCATTTCAATATTTCACACACTCCACCTTACTCTATAAAAATACAAACATTTCACCCGTGTCTGCCTTCTGCAGGACTCACCAGCTCTGTATCCTTGAGCCAAGGCTTTCTGCTTTCCAACCTTTAGCATCTCCTTGTTGATGTCACACACCATGACATGAGACCCACCCAAGGAATCTTCTTCATTCTGGTACTCTTTGGCAATTTCTTCCCAGGATAAACTTTGTTGGGCCCTTAACTGCCTCTTCTGTTTTCTCTGATGCTGGGACTGAACATAATTTAGGAACCGGAATGCAATGTCACCTGTGAGAAGCCAACATGAGGAAAGATGCAGACTAAAACAAAAATAAAAAAGGAAGAAACAGCATTTCCTAAAACCAAAAGGGGTAACAGAGGCACAGGAGTACCTGTGTTAGCTAACTGCATTCAGTGTGGCTGAAAGGCAAGTCCTTTCTTCTTTCTGTTAGAGACAGGGTCATACTCTTGTCACCCTGGCTGGAGTGCAGAGGCACAATCATAGCTGAGAATGTGAACGTGAAAGTTTCTACTCATTTCAACACTAACTTTTTTTTCTTTTTTGAGACAGAGTTTCACTGCTGTTACCCAGACTGGAGTACAATGGCACGATCTCGGCTCACCGCAACCTCTGCCTCCTGGGTTCAAGCAATTCTCCTGCCTTAGCCTCCCGAGTAGCTGGGACTACAGGCGCGCACCACCATGACCAGCTAATTTTTTGTATTTTTAGTAGAGACGGGGTTTCACCTTGTTGACCAGCAGGATGGTCTCAATCTCTTGACCTCGTGATCCACCTGTCTCGGCCTCCCAAAGTGCTGGGATTACAGGCGTGAGCCACCACGCCTGGCCAACTTTTTTTTTTTATTTAAAAAATTGGGCCAGGCACGGTGGCTCACGCCTGTAATCCCAGCACTTTGGGAGGCCGAGGCTGATGGATCGCCTGAGGTCAGGAGTCTGAGACCAGCCAGGCCAAAAAGGCGAAACACATGTGGTGGCACATGCCTATAATCCCAGCTACTTGGGAGGCTGAGCCAGGAGAACTGCTTGACCCCAGGAGGCAGAGGTTACAGGGAGCTGAGATTGCACCACTGCACTTCACCCTGGGGGATAGAGTGAGACTATCTATTTTTTTGTAGAATGAGGGTCTCACTATGTTGCCGAGGCTGTCCTACAACTTCTGGGCTCAAGCATTCATCCTGCCTCAGCCTCCCAAATAGCTGGGATTATAGGCATATACCACCCTTACTGACTAGTCTCTTTATATATATATATTTTTTCATTTTTTTTTAGACAAGGTCTTGCTCTGTCTCCCAGGCTGGAGTGCAGTAGTACAACTATGGCTCACTGCAGCCTTGACTTCCTGGGTTCAAGAGATCCTCCCATTTCAGCCTCCTGAGTAGCTGGGACTATAGGCGTGTGCCACCAGATCCGGCTAATTTTTAAAAACCTTTTGTAGATGGCCGGGCTCAGTGGCTCATGCCTGTAATCCCAACACTTTGGGAGGCCGAGGCATGCGGATCACCTGAGGTCAGGAGTTCTAGACCAGCCTGGCCAACATGGTGAAACTCTATCTCTAATAAAAATATAAAAATTAGCTGGGTGTGGTGGCACGTGCCTGTAATCCCAGCTACTCAGGAGGCTGAGGCAGGAGAACTGCTTGAACCTGGGAGATGTAGGTTGCACTGAGTGAAGACCTCACCACTGCACTCCAGCCTGGGTGAAAAAGCGAGAATCCATCTCAAAAAACAAAAAACATAACTTTTTGTAGAGATGGGGTCACACTATGTTGCCTAGGCTGCTCTTGAACTCCTGGGCTCAAGGGATTCTCCCACCTCAGCCTCTCAAAGTGCTGGAATTATAGGCATAAGCCACCACCTCAGCCTCTCAAAGTGCTGGAATTATAGGCATAAGCCACCGTGCCCAGTCTCTGGCTAGTATTTTTCATTTTCTTTCTGGCTCTATCACCTAGGCTGGAGTGCAGTGGAGCAATCTTGGCTCACTGCAACCTTCGTCTCCCAGACTCAAACCATCGTCCCACTTCTGTCTCAAAAAAAAAAAAGAAAAAGAAAAAGAAATCGGGAGGGCGAGATCACAGCCAATTTCCTAAACAGGCCAGTTTAAATCTTTAGTTGGCATGAGAGTGAAGTTTCTTCTGCCCTAAGCCTTACATAAAAAAGGTAACCTAAAGTGATATATAAACTCAACAGTTTTGTTTTTTTGACACAGGGTCTCCCTCTGCCGCCCAGGCTGGATGGAGTGCAATAGCGTGGTCTTGGCTCACTGGAACCACCTCCTCCCGGGTTCAAGCAATTCTCCTGCCTCAGCTTCCCAATAGCTGGTATTACAGGCATGAACCACCATGTCTAGCTACGTTTTTGTATTTTTAGTAGAGATGGAGTTTCACTATGTTGGCCAGGCTTGTCTTGAACTCCTAACCTCAGGTGATCCACCCACCTCGGCTTCCCAAAATGCTGGGAGTACAGGTGTGAACCACTGTACCCAACCAATCCTGTGTATTTTAGAAACGTGACAGGCACAAAACTGATATTCTATGCTTTTGATTGATATTCAGTCAAAAAGAGAAGTGAATGTCTTTCTCAGAAGTTATAAGTATGCTGATTTTCAATGACCATCTTCAGCCTGTTAGGTGAGCTAGCTCATTACAAGACAAACGAATTTCTGTAAAACATGCTCAACGGTAGTGAACGATACCAAACTCAATTATTACCTGTGCCTCCAGCAACATCAAGCAGCTGGGTCCCAGGAAGCGGATGCATCTTCCAGAGCAGCAAATCCTTCCAAAGACGATGGATACCAAGACTCATCATATCATTCATCACATCATACTTCTTAGCCACACTTTCAAACACCTGATGGACTGACATGGGAAAAACACACACAATTGTGCTCTTAACAGTATTCACTTAGAAAAATCCTCAACAGGCCAGGCACAGTGGCTCATGCCTGTAATCCCAGCACTGTGGAAGGCCAAGGTGGGCAGATCACAAGGTCAGGAGTTCGAGACCATCTGGCCAGCATGGTGAAACCCCATCTCTACTAACAATACAAGAATAAGCCGGTGTGGTGGCTTGCATCAGTAATCCCAGCTACTCAGGAGGCTGAGGCAGGAGAATCGCTTGAACCTGGGAGGCAGAGGTTGCAGTGAGCTGAGATCGTGCCACTGTACTCCAGCCTGGGCGACAGTGAGATTCGGTCTCAAAAAAATAAATAAAAGGAAAATCCTAAACAAAAAAGGAAGAAGCTTTTTTCCCCTGAAATGGCCTGTCTTTGCAAGATGAAACTAAGTCATAATGCTTGATGTCCAAATCTACACTTTAACATTACCTCTTTATTTATTTTTCCTGCCTCAGGTTTATTTATATAAATAGCACAGGAGGATCCCAACCCCATACAGACAGCAGCGGGAGGGGTCACACCAGTCCTTCTGTCCTCACGTTGAAAGACAAGAGACATCTTCTCTGAAGCCTTTGTAGGGGCCTGAGCTGGAACTGAAGCTGGAGCTGCAGGCTGGGCCTTGGTTTGATCCTTGGCCTTGGACTTGACCTTTGGCAGGCACAACCTGAGCCCCCTGGCAATGTGGGCATGAGCACACTTTCCTTTTTTTTTTTTTTTTGTGACGGAGTTTCGCTCTTGTACCCAGGCTGGAGTGCAATGGCGCCATCTCAGCTCACCGCAACCTCCGCCTCCTGGGTTCAGGCAATTCTCCTGCCTCAGTCTCCTGAGTAGCTGGGATTACAGGCATGCACCACCATGCCCAGCTAATTTTTTGTATTTTTAGTCGAGACGGGGTTTCACCATGTTGACCAGGATGGTCTTGATCTCTTGACCTCGTGATCCACCCGCCTCGGCCTCCCAAAGTGCTGGGATTATAGGCGTGAGCCACCGTGCCCGGCCACGAGCACTTTCTAAGCTTGGAGTGGGCAATGTAGGCCAGTTGCTCGAGCTTGCGGCTGACACCCTTTGGGATCTTGGGCTTAACCTCCTTGGGCTTTATGAGGGCCTCGATAGCCTCGGCACGTGCACTCATGGCCTTGGCATTGTTAGCCTGCAACTTCTTTAGGACCTTCTTGTTGTGCTTCCTGGCAAAGCGCACGTTCCTCAGGAACTTGGGGTCCACCTCCTTAAGAGATTTGTATCTTTGTGATTGGGGTTTCTTGATACCATTTCTCTGCCATTTTGGGACTAGTTGTGCGGGGTGTGGTTCTTGGACTTGGCCATGTCTGCACCTGTCCTCTCTGCAGCCTGCGCCCCACCGTCGCCCATAAATCACTAATGGCATCACATTAGCTCTTTAATAAGAGGCTTAGCAGGCGCGGTGGCTCACACCAGCACTTTGGGAGGCTGAGGCAGGTGGATCACAAGGTCAGGAGCTTAGGACTAGTCTGGCCAAGATGGCAAAATCCTGTCTCTACTAAAAATACAAAAATTAGCCAGGCACGGTGGCAAGCACCTGTAATCCCAACTACTCGGGAGGCTGAGGCAGGAGATTTGCTTGAACCCAGGAAACAGAGGTTGTAGTGATCTCGACTCACAAGTAAGAGGCTTAAATGTACTTCATGGAAGAAGTTAATCTCTTTTCTACTGTCTTAATTAGTGTTACTTAGGCCCACTACTGTGTAATAATGCCATCCATATACCTAGTACTAAACATATATTTCTCTTTCTTAAAGGACAGGGTGGGGCAAACTGGAATTTTTCTCATGGTTATTACAATAAAAGACAAGATCCATTAGAAAGATGCATGACAGACCAGGTGCAGTGGCTCTTGCCTGAGATTCTAGCACTTTGGGAGGCCAAAGTGGGTGGTTCACTTGAGGCCAGGAGTTCAAGACTAGCCTGGCCAACATGGCAAAACCCTGTCTCTACTGAAAACACAAAAATTAGCCAAGCATGGTTGCCCACACCTGTACTCCCAGCTACTCAGGTAGCTGAGGCAGGAGAATCAGTTGAACCTGGGAAGTGGAGGTTGTAGTGAGCTGAAATTGGACCACTGCATTCCAGCATGGGCAACTGAGAGAGACTCTGTTTCAAATAAAAGATGAAACATGCATCATTAGTGGATGGGAAGACCTCAGCTCATGTCTGCCTCTATCACTGAGAACCTTAGGTACAATTTGATGGGCACCTAGATGCCAAGCTGTGAATCAGGGCTAAGTCACAATTTAGAGGGCTCTTATGAGTCTTCTCCATTGGATCAATGCAGACTGTGGAATCTGGGAGAGCTAAAGGGAGAAAGAGTCTACTATCCAAGACTCTCAGAAGTGTTTCCCTTTGAAGTTATATTTAACTGTTTTGCACCTTAGCTTCTCTCCCCATAAGATGACTATATCAGTGCCAGCTCCCAACTCCCTGCCAGAAGGCTGAATTGGAGATTCAGCCTGATAATGAAGAGGAGATACTTTGAGTTCCTCAGATGAAATGTGCTGCACAGATCCAAATATGACTCTCTTCTGCTGAATCAGACTAAAGGGCCTGCCTTTAACTCAATCTTCAATGCCTATTCTCAACCTTGGGATTTCCAAGTGTGCTCTTTTTTTTGTGTTTTTATTTTTTTGAGATGTAGTCTAGCTCTGTCACCCAGGATGGAGTATAGTGGCACAATCTCGGCTCACTGCAACCTCTGCCTCCTGTGTTCAAGCAGTTCTCCTGCCTCAGCCTCCTGAGTAGCTGCGATTACAGGTGCTTGCCACCATGCCTGGCTAATGTTGTATTTTGGTAGAGACAGGGTTTCACCATGTTGGTCAGGCTTGTCTTGAACTCCTGACCTCATGATCAGCGCACCTCAGCCTCCCAAAGTGCTGGGATTACAGGCGTGAATCACCTTGTCAAGCCTGCTCTTTTCTTTTGAGCATCTTTTGGGGTATCTAAGGGACACTAAAGCTAACCCACTGAGTATAGACAGTCCTTGCTGGCACAGTGGCATACACCTGGAGTGCCAGCTACTCGGGGGTCCACAGGGGAGGACTGCTTGAACCCAGGAGTTCAAGGCTGCAGTGTGCTATGATTGTACCTATAAATAGCCATTGCACTCCAGCCTGGGTAGCATAGTGAGAACTTGTGTCAAAAATAAACAAATAGTCCTTGCTTTGCATGTTCCAATATGCATGAATTTCAGTTACTGTGGATTAGCTAAATAACACCAGTCCCCCAACACCACAATTCAAGTACAACAGTATATCAAATGTGAGTAATTACATAAAGTACATTCTTTTTTTTTGAGACGGAGTTTCGCTGTTGTTGCCCAGGCTGGAGTGCAATGGCACGATCTCAGCTCACTGCATCCTCCACCTCCTGGGTTCAAGTGATTCTCCTGTCTCAGCCTCCTGAGTAGCTGGGATTACAGGCATCCAACACGATGCCTGGCTAATTTTTTTTTTTTTTGAACGTAAACTCAAGATTTTATTGTCTTCATAAAAGATGACACTTAGAACTGGATCACTTGGCCCTTTCTCTTCTTATCTCCTCCCAGTTCAAAATGCTTGCATCTTGTCATAGCCAGCATTCTCTTAGATCTGCAATTGGGCTCAATGCACTCAAGACTTAGCACAATATTCTTTGTAGTTTTAACCTTTTCCCAGAAAATGGGCTTAGTATGCCCACCATAGCCACTCTGCTTCCTGTCATAACGCCGCTTTCTCTGGGCATACAGAGAATCCTTGCCCTTCTCATACTGTGTCACTTTGTGGGGTTGGTGCTTGCCACACTTCTTACAGAAAGTCCAGCGGGTTTTAGGAATGTTCACCATTTTTGCATAAGCGCTACCGGCACGGAAAGTGCCTGGCTAATTTTGTATTTTTTACTAGAGAAGGGATTTCTCTATGTTGGCTGGGCTGGTCTCGAACTCCCGACCTCAGGTGATCCTCCCGCCTCAGCCTCCCAAAGTGCTAGGATTATAGGTGTGAGCCACTGTGCCTGGCCCTAAAGTACATTCTTTAGTCTACAAATCATTATGTAAGTAACAGATACACAGCATGATCAGCAAACAAGCACATACTTCTTTCACAGACTTTAGGTGACTGGTCACTGTACCAGTTACTCAGTTCACAGACAGCGGCAATTTGCCAAGCCATAGAAAAGCTATTACACATGACAAGAAGGTAGCAAATCAAGATCAAACTACTCTTGGCAAATTTTTGACAAGCAAACAAAATAAATTCTCAAGGTTTCTAATTTTTTATTCAAATTTTTTTCCTTCTTTTCACAGTCTTGCTCCGTTGCCTAGATTAGAGTGCACTGGCACAAACTTGGCTCACTGCAACCTCCACTCTCAGATTCAAACAATTCACCTACCTCAGCCTCCTAATTAGCTACAATTACGGGCATGCACCACCACGCCCAGCTAATTTTTTTTTGTATTTTTAGTAGAGATGAGGTTTCACCATGTTAGCCAGGCTGGTCTCAAACTCCTGACTTCAAGTGATCTGCCCACCTCAGCCTCCCAAAGTGCTGGGATTACAAGTGTGAACCATTGTGCCCAGCCATAAATAAATATTAGTTTTAGTATACATTTAATATATTTTTTCATTCCCCTATGCATTTATAACTGATAGCATTTTAATTTTATCTATATTAGATATATCTAATAATATAATTATTAGAACAATTACAATTTTTCCCATTAAGGTCATTGTGCATAACTTCAGCTTCCACATTTTCTTTTTTTTTTTTTTTGAGACAGAGTCTCACTCTGTTGCTGCCAGGCTGGAGTGCAGTGGTGCAATCTTGGCTCACTGCAACCTCCACCACCCCGGTTCAAGCCATTCTCTTGCCTCAGCCTCCCGAGTAGCTGTACTACAGGCATCTGCCACCATGCCCAGCTAACCTTTTGTATTTTTAGTAGAGATGGTATTTCACCCTGTTGGCCAGGATGGTCTCAATATCTTGACCTCATGATCTACCCGTCTTGGCCTCCCAAAGTGCTGGGATTACAGGTTTGAGCCACCATGCCCTACCTTTTTTTTTTTCCTTGAGACAGTCTCGCTCAGCTGCCCAGGCTGAAGTGCAGTGGTGCAATCTGGGCTCACTGCAACCACTGTCTTCCAGGTTCAAGCAATTCTCCCGTCTCAGCCTCCTGAGTAACTGGGATTACAAAAACCTGCCATCATGTCTGGCTAATTGCTGTATTTTAGTAGAGATGGGGTTTTCACCATATTGGCCAGGCTGGTCTTGAACTCTGACCTCAGATGATCAGCCCGTTTTGGCCTCCCAAAGTGCTAGGATTACAGGCTTGAGCCACTGCGCCCAGACGGCTTGCACATTTTCAGTCTTGAATTAATTACTGTGCAAGGCAAGGACTGTCTATACTGCAATCTCAGTCCCCAATCTGGAACTAATGTTTAGTTCTGTAGGTAACTTCTTCCCTGCTTGCGACTGTGTGCAATGTTGATTATACTTTGTAAAGCACAATACGGAAATTAGGCATTATTATTATTATTCCTAATTACTGGATAAGAGTATATACTTTGTGTGTAACCCACCTGAATTCAAATCTCAGCTCTGCCACTTATTAGGAGAATCTTGGGCAAGTGATTTAACATATTTGTTTCACATTTTCTTCATTTCTAAAACTGGGCTAAGGTGGGCATGGTGGCTCATGCCTGTAATCCCAGAACTTTGGAGGCTGAGGCATGAGGATCACTTGAGGTCAGGAGTTCGAGACCAACCTGGCTAACATGATGAAATCCTGTCTCTACTAAAAATACAAAAATTAGCAGGGCGTACTGGCAGATGCCTGTAATCCCAGCTACTGGGGAGGCTGAGGCAGGAGAATCACTTGAACCTGGGAGGCGGAGGTTGCAGTGAACCAAGATTGAGCCAGGACTCCAGCCTGGGCGACAGAGGGAGATTCAATGCCCCCTAAATAAACTGGACTAATAGTTCTTATCTTACAGTTTTAGTTATAAGAATTAATGTGTCACTGTAAACATGAGAAAGATAAATTAAATTATTTAAAAAATAAATAAGAATTAATGTGAAATATTTTAGAAGGTTTCAGACCCTTAATAAGTGCTTGCTACTACAATTGACTAGTTTTTTTTTTTTTTTGAGACAGAATTTCGCTCTTGTTACCCAGGCTGGAGTGCAATGGCGCGATCTCGGCTCGGTGCGATCTCGGCTCACCGCAACCTCTGCCTCCTGGGTTCAAGCAATTCTCCTGTCTCAGCCTCCCGAGTTGCTGGGACTACAGGCGCACGCCACCATACCCAGCTAATTGTTGTCTTTTTAGTAGAGATGGGGTTTCACCATGTTGACCAGGATGGTCTCGATTTCTTGACCTCGTGATCCACCCGCCTCGGCCTCCCAAAGTGCTGGGATTATAGGCGTGAGCCACCGCGCCTGGCCTCTGACTCGTTTTAAAAATAAAAAATAAAATGCTTGGTATTATTGTACTTGGCTCTGCTTATTTCATTCCATAAGCAGTTACCAAGCTCCTAATGTGCTTCAAGCACTGAGGAAATAGGAATGAATGAGCCTGGCTTTCTGGGTATTCAGTCCTGTGAATCAAATACTAATTTGAACTTGACATTCAAAGTGTTAAAGCAGGGCTACGTATTAGCAAGGTTGAGGTGGGCAGTCTTTAAGAGGATGGGAAATTCCGCTGTGGGCACTTTCCCTTATTTCCTGGGTAACTCAGTAAAGAAACCTCTCAGAACCTCACCTTATACATCTGTAAAATGGGCCAATACCTTCATCATTATAAATACTACTGGTTGAGTTTAAAACAGTCCTATCTTTTCCTTCATAAACCCACTTGTTGAAGTTTCCTTGAGTCTCCCCTTCCTTGCAAAAAAAAAAACAAACCATTTCTTTTCCTACGCCTGTGGCACAGTGCTGACAAAAAGGAACTGCTCAACAATATCTAACATTATTGAACAATTACTAAGTGCTAGGGGCTGTTTGAAGTGCTTTCCTGTATCAAATAGTTTGATACTCACAAGAACTCCAAGAGAAGAAGGGTTACTGTTAGTCCTACTTGGCAAATTTGGAAGCTGAGGTTCACAGAAGATAGTTTCCCTCTTTCTTTAAAAAAAAAAAAAAAATACCACACCACACCTACCCATAAGTTTAAATGAAACATTGATGGGCCATTATTAATACCCAATTTTTTTCAAAATAAAGCAATATTTCCATTTACTCTCCCTCTTTCTTTTCCTGTCTTCCTCTCCTTTACTTATTTTTTTTTTCTTTCTCTCAAAAAAAAAGAAATCAACTTGTAAACCTCTAGATCCAGGTCGGCAATGTCTCTCTCATTGCTTGATTCCCTTCCTTCCCTTCCCTTCCCTCCCTCCCTCCCTCCCCGCTTCCTCCCTTCCTTCCTTCCTTCATCCCTTCCTCCCTCCCTACCGTCCTTCTTCTCTCCCTTCCTGCCTTCCTCCCCCACCCCCCCCAAAAAAAAAAAAAAAAAAGAAGACCTATTTTTCTCAAGAGGTAAAGAACGTGGGCTTCGTAATCAGATTAAACTGAGTTTGAATACTGCTTCGGTCACTTACTAAATATGTTCAATTGGGCAACTTCTTGCTTAATCTTTAAGTCTCAATTTCCTCACGTGTAATATAATATGTTAATAACAATACCCACTACCGGAATATTGAAATTAGAACTGAAATAATGTCTGTACATTGCCTGGCACATCACAAACGCTCAATTGATGGCATTTAGTTAACATTATTCTGCTTTAAAAAAAGTGGGCGTCTAAACGCCGCCGGGTCAGGCAGGGGGCACTCCTTAGAAATCAGAACTGCAGCCGGGCGCGGTGGCTCAAGCCTGTAATCCCAGCACTTTAGCAGGCCGAGGCGGGCGGACCACCTGAGGTCGGGAGTTTGAGACCAGCATGACCAACATGGAGAAACCCTGTCTCTAATAAAAATACAAAATTAGACGGGCGTGGTGGCGCATGCCTGTAATCCCAGCTACTTGGGAGGCGGAGACAGGAGAATCGCTTGAGCCGGGGAGGAGGAGGTTACGATCAGCCGAGATCGAGGCATTGCACTCCAGCCTGCGCAACAAGAACGAAACTCCGTCTCAAAAACAACAATAAAAAGAAATCAGAACTGCACAGACAACAACACTGGAACTAACTGGATGTTAAATCAGCCTTAACTGGCCAGAGGAAACTAGACTACGGGCGGTCAGATCCTTCCATCCACCCTCTCGCCCCTTTCACCTTTGCCCCCCTTTTCCTCTTCCGACACAGTCTGAAACCCGAAGTGCGTTTCCGTTGCCCGCTTCTCTTGGGACAAGAGCCGCGCACTTAGTGGGGCCTCGGGCCAAGAGCCACGAAGCCCGAGGAGCTGACAGCCCCGCATCGCCCGCGACCACCTACGACTGCAATAGTTCCATAGAGCCAAGCTTCTGGGAGCCGCCATCTTGGTACTCGAGTTCCAAGGGCCAGAAGGTACGCCGTGTTGCGTCACCAGAAGAACGACGGCGGCTGGGCGCAAACATTATTAGACGAACGCGCCCTGAAATCTGATCCTGAGGTCTGCATGCAAAATCTCTAGGATACAGATCCCTTCCTCTCTCTCTTCTCAAATTGAATTTACAATTCACCAGGAATGAGGGGACCTCTGGGGGAACCCTGGGTCACCTCTTAGCGGCCATGTCGCTGAATCCTGCCAGGCAGAAGAGTACTAACTCGTAAGATATCCAGGAACTCTTGTTTTGTGTTGTAGAAGGGGGAAATTGAGGCATGGTGTGGTTTAAAACCCAAGATCACGGGCCAATTCCTGCACACTTTGTTGAGCGTAAAAATCACCTGGTTTATTTAAAATGCAGATTCCTGGGCCTCCAACAACCAGATATTTTGAATCAATACATCTAGCATATATCCCTTTAATCTGTTAAAAAAAAAAAACTGGCGATTCTCATGCAAGAGATTTGCAGACAATTCTTAAGAAACATATGCCAGACTACTCTGGAAAATAAACATAGGACAGACTTCTTTGGTCTGCCCATTTTACGAACTTAGGAAGTTCATAAATGGGAACGAAAGCTCTGGTCCACTTAGCAAGCCAAAACCAAACACCACTCACTTGGTCTCCTGCTGACACAAAGCTACATTTCTAGCTCCAACTGGCATGTTATGAGTGTTTTACTTCAGCCCCAGATTTTCACTCTTTTTTAACGGAAAGGGTAATGTGGACCATCTTGTGCAAAAGAAAGAATGGATGTCCTTGAATTTCGCTTGGATTACTGTGTGTTTCTGCTTTCATTCCATTTTAAATGTATGTTTCCTGTAAATATTTCACGAGGAGAAAGCGCCAATAGGAGAAACTATTTTGAAATGAAAATTCTCTTCTTGGTTTAATATAGCCTGACAGATGGACACCTACCGCTCTCGTTTGGGAAGTACTGCACTGGGATTTCTGTTTTTTTCTCTTTTATTTTAAGAATGATAGAAGATCCTCGTTGGTATAGTAATGAGAAAAAAAAAAGAGGAATAATACAAGGGAGAAATGATTCATCCATGTACTCATAGTTCTCATGTCTTTGTTAAAAGAAAGTGGCCGGGCTCAGTGGCTCATGTGTGTAATCACAGCACTTTGGGAGGCTGAGGCAGGCGTACTGCAGAGGTCAGCAGTTTGAGACCAGCCTGGCTAACATGGTGAAACCCCATCTCTACTAAAAATACAAAAATTAGCCAGGCGTGGTGGTGCACACCTGTAGTCCCAGCTATTTGTGAAGCTGAAGCAGGAGAATCGCTTCAATCTGGGTGGCAGAGGTTGCAGTGTGCAGAGATAATGCCACTGCACTCCAGCCTTGGAGACAGAGTGAGACTCCCTCTCAAAAAAAAAAAAAAAAAGAGAGAGATTAGTATCTAACTTCTTTTATTACATTTAAACTGTTAATTCCAAGAAAGTCATTTATTTATATACTTATTAATGTCTTTTATACCGTGTAACGATAAATAAGGAGGCACGAAGGGCCCAATTCTTGACTTCTTTTTTTTTTTTTTTTTGAGAAGGAGTTTCGCTCTTGTTACCCAGGCTGGAGTGCAATGGCGTGATCTCGGCTCACCGCAACCTCCGCCTCCTGGGTTCAGGCAATTCTCCTGCCTCAGCCTCCTGAGTACCTACTGGGATTACAGGCACGCGCCACCATGCCCAGCTAATTTTTGTATTTTTAGTAGAGACGGGGTTTCACCATGTTGACCAGGATGGTCTCGATCTCTTGACCTCGTGATCCACCCGCCTCGGCCTCCCAAAGTGCTGGGATTACAGGCGTGAGCCATCGTGCCCGGCCTATTTACTTTTTTCTTTTTTGAAATGATGTTTTGTTCTCGTTGCCCAGGCACACCACAACCTCCGCCTCCCAGGTTCAAGTGATTCTCCTGCCTCAGGCTTCTGAGTAGCTGGGATTACAGGCACCCACCATTACTCCCGGCTATTTTTTGTATTTTATCTTACTTTTTATAGAGATGGCATTTCACCATCTTGGACAGGCTGGTCTTGAACTCCTGACCTTGTGATCCGCTTTCCTTGGCCTCCCAAAATGCTGAGATTACAAGCGTGAGCCACTGCATCTGGCCTATTTTTTGTATTTTTAGTAGAGATGGGGTTTCACCATGTTGGCCAGGCTAGTCTTACTTATTCATTCATTCTTTATTTTGAAACAGGATATCACTTTGTCGCCCAGGATAGAATGCAGTGGCACAATCACAGCTCACTTCTCAGCCTCCCAGGGTCAAGTGATTCTCCCACCTCAGCCTCCCTGAGTAGCTGGGACTACAGGTATGTACCACCACACTGGGCTTATTTATTATTTATTATTTTTTTTTTGAGATGGAGTTTCGCTGTTGTTGCCCAGGCTGGTCTTTGCTGTAATCCCAGCACTTTGGGAGGCCAAGGCAGACAGATCTTCTGAGGTTTGGAGTTTGAGATTGCAATGGCACAATCTTGACTCACTGCAACCTCTGCCTCCCAGATTCAAGGGATTCTCCCGCCTCAGCCTCCTGAGTAGCTGGGATTATAGGCACGTGCCACCATGCCCAGCTAATTTTTGTGGGTTTTTTTTTGAGACGGAGGTTTGCTCTCCTTACGCAGGCTGGAGTGCAATGGCGTGATCTCGGCTCACCGCAACCTCCGCCTCCTGGGTTCAGGCAATTCTCCTGTCACAGCCTCCTGAGTAGCTGGGATTACAGGCATGCGCCACCATGCCCAGCTAATTTTTTGTATTTTTAGTAGAGACGGGGTTTCACCATGTTGACCAGGATGGTCTCGATCTCTTGACCTTGTGATCCACCCACCTCGGCCTCCCAAAGTGCTGGGATTACAGGCTTGAACCACCATGCCCGGCCTATTTTTGTGTTTTTTAGTAGAGATGGGGTTTCACCTTGTTGGTTAGGCTGGTCTCGAACTGACCTCGTGATCTGCCCTCCTGGGCCTCCCATAGTGCTGGGATTACAGATGTGAGCCACCGTGCCCAGCAATTTATATATTTTTTATTGAGACAGGGTTTTGTCATGCTGCCCTAGCTGGTCTTGAACCCCTGGGTTTGGGCAATCTGCCCACCTTAGTCTCCCAAAGTGCTGGGATTCCAGGAGTGAACCACCACACCTGGCCCTGTTCATTTCCTTAATAGCATGTGTATATGATCTTTTTTTCTCTCTCTCTTTTTTTTTTGAGACGGAGTTTCGCTCTTGTTACACAGACTGGAGTGTAATGGCACGACGATCTCGGCTCACCGCAACCTCCACATTCTGGGTTCAAGCAGTTCTCCTACCTCAGCCTCCCGAGTCGCTGGGACTACAGGCATGCACCACCATGCCCAGCTAATTTTTGGATTTTTAGTAGAGATGGGGTTTCACCATGTTGACCAGGATGGTCTCGACCTCTTGACCTTGTGATCCACCCGCCCCGGCCTCCCAAAGTGCTGGGATTACAGGCTTGAGCCACCGCGCCTGGCTTTTTTTTTTTTTAAGAGGAGATTTCACCATGTTGATCAGGCTGATCTTGAACTCCCAACCTCAGGTGATCCGCCCGCCTTGGCCTCCAAAGTATGTGATCTTTTGAATCTCAAACTACTATGTGTAGAAGGCAATCATTTGTAATTTTCTGAAGTACAAATAGATGTGGTGTGATTTCCAAGGTCTTAGTGTCTATATCTGTAAGCCATACTTTTTTTTTAATTTTAATTTTTACTAATGAATGGGTTTCACTATGTTGCTCAGGCTGGTCTCAAACTCAGCATCAAGTGATCCTCCTGCCTCAGCCTCCCAGAACGTTGTGATTACAGGCTTGAGCCACTTTGCCTGGCCATGTGTGTGATTTTCTTTTTTTTCTTTTTGAGACAGAGCTCTGTTGCTGGAGTGCAGTGGCGGGATCTCAGCTCACTGCAACCTCTGCCTCCTGGGTTCAAGCAATTCTCCTGCCTCAGCCTCCGGAGTAGCTGGGACTACAGGCACCTGCCACCATGCCCAGCTAACTTTTCTATTTTTAGTAGAGATGGGGTTTCACCATGTTGGCCAGGATGGTCTCGATCTCTTGACCTCATGATCCACCTGCCTGGGCCTCCTAAAGTGCTGGGATTACAGGCATGAGTCACCATGCCCGGCCTCTTTTTTTTTTGAGACAGAGTCTTACTGTGTCACCCAGGTTGGAGTGCAATGGAGTGATCTCAGCTCACTGCAACCTCCACCTCCAGGTTCAAACAATTCTCCTGCCTCAGCCTCCTGAGTAGCCGGGACTACCGGCTCCTGCCACCATGCCTAGCTAACTTGCGTATTGTTAGTAGAGACAGGGTTTCACCATATTGGCCAGGCTGGTCTTGAACTCCAGCCTGACCTTGTGATCTGCCCACGGTGGGCTCCCAAAGTGCTGGGATTACAGGCTTGAGCCACCGCATCCGGCCATTTTCTCATCTTTAAATTTATTTTATTTAGGGACAGAGTCTTGCTATGTTACCCAGGCTGGACTCATACTCCTGGGCTCAAGTGATCATCCCTCCTCAGCCTCCTGAGCTGGGACTACAGGTGTACTCAGCCTAAAATTTAGTTATTGTGAGAATTAAATGTGATAGTCCATGTTAACAGCTGTTAAATATAGTTTATAGGAGGCCATTGGTTTGCACTGAGCTTCAGCACAATAGACCAAACCAAAACAGAGTTACTCAAGGTCAAGTTCTACCCAACCACGCCTAAACTAAGTTGTTTAGCTGACCTTCTGATAAATCACCAAATTCCCAAACAGGTCAGTTTTAGTCCACATAAGGAAGTCCATTCTGCTTAAACCTTTACAAGAAAAGTAACTTTGAAATGACTAATCTGCTTTTCGTTTTATATTCCTACTTTTTTTTTTTGAGACAGAGTTTCACTCTTGTTGCCCAGGTTGAAGTTGTACTTGGCATGATCTCAGCTCACTGCAACCTCCACTTCCCGGGTTCAAGCCATTCTCCTGCCTCAGGCTCCTGAG